AGAAAAAGACTTTTTTTCTGTATATGTGTCTGTAGTATTGGTTGGGTAGGGCACTTTGGCTTTGATTCTAAGTGGGCACAGAAGTATAGCCTTTATAAGATTTTTTTTCAGCACCACTGGTGGTGGTGGCAAGCCAGGTGTGCCAGTCCTTGTGCCCCTGGTGGTATATAAGGGTACTAGTGGTAGTGGGTATAGGCAGGACAATCTTTGGGTCTCCAGGTGACTTTCTCAGGTGCCAGCATTGGCAGTAGTGGTCTGGGTGGGTGAGTGGGTCTCATGGTTGCATAGCATTGATGATACCAGTACTGGTGGTGAACAAATCCATGCCCTCCCCCCTCTGCAGCACATGCTGGCACCAGCCTTGGTGGCGACAGGCTGGGTGGACCCATCCTCAGGACCCCCGATGGTGTGCATGAACACAGCTGTGATGGGTGGTCAATATCCTAGCCCCTGGATGACATGTGGAGGTGGTGGTGGCAGTGGTGGGTAGAGTGGTCTTGTCCTCAGGTCCTGGGAAGATGCCCAGGCAAGCCGGTCCCCAGGCCTCCTGAAGGTGCTTGCAGGTTGTATTAGTCCATTTCCACACTGCTATAAAGAAATACCTGAGACTGGCCCGGCGCAGTGGCTCACGCCTGTAATCCCAGCACTTTGGGAGGCCAAGGCGGACGGATCATGAGGTCAGGAGATCGAGACCATCCTGGCTAACATGGTGAAACCCCATCTCTACTAAAAATACAAAAATTAGCTGGGCTTGGTGGCGGGCGCCTGTAGTCCCAGCTACTCCGGAGGCTGAGGCAGGAGAATGGCGTGAACCCAGGAGGCGGAGCTTGCAGTGAGCCGAGATCGCGCCCATGAACTCTAGCCTGGGTGACGGAGAGAGACTCCGTCCAAAACAAACAAACAAAAAAAGAAATACCCGAGACTGGGTAATTTATAAAAGAAAGAAGTTTAATTAACTCACAGTTCTGCATGGCTGTGGAGGCCTCAGGAAACTTACAATCACGGCAGAAGGCAAACGGGAAGCAAGGACCTTTTTCACATGGCAGCAGGAGAGAGTGTGTGTGAAGAAGGAACTATCAAACACTTTCAAAACCATCAGATCTCATAAAAACTCACTCACTATCATGAGAACAACATGGGGGAAACTACCCCCATAATCCAATCACGTCCCACCAGGGTCCTCCCCAGACACGTGGGGATTACAATTCGGATTACAACTGGAGATGAGATTTGGGTGGGGACACAGCCAAACCATATCACAAGGGCACAGTGACCCTACTGCTGGGGGGATGGTGGGGTTGCTGTCAGTGGCAGTGGTCCCAGGCCGGCAACTCTGCGGCTCTGGGGTACATGAGCTTTGTCTCCCTTTGTCCCAGGGGCAGCCTCCCTGGTGTGCTGCACCACCCATTCCCAGGTTATAGGACATGCGTAGACTAGATTGTTGGGGACCCAGTCACCCTGCATCGTGAGGCTGCAGCCTCTGGGTGGGGACATGGCAGAATGTCAGCAGGACTCCATGGATGTGGAGATGCAGGGGCTGTTGAGCCCCAGAGTGGGATGGGGTCTGGTCGGGGCTGGAATCTCAAAACGGTGCTGTGCTGCAGCTGCTCGGGTCTTGGGGGTGTGTAGGACCCATCATAAAATCGCTTTTTGGAACAATGCAGGCATCTCCCTATACTAGTCTCAAAGCCCACGAGGGCCAAGGGCCTTTCTGTGGCTAGGACTGCAGGAGTCTGTGGTGGGAATGTGACCTTGTGGCGATCTCTCATTTACCTTTTCCCTAAGCTGGGGAGTTTCTCCTGGATCTGAGCTGATCCTGGCTGGGCCGGCTACTTCACATCCCTCTCTTTCCATGTTTCAGAAGCTCCTTATCCCTTCCCTCTGAATTCCGGTGTTCTCTCTTAGCTGCTCTACTTGACATGTGATTATTCATTTGCTGTTTGAGTCCTTTGTGAAGAAAGTGAGTGCTGGGTGCCTCTGGTCACCACCTTGAGCTGAAGAATGTTTCTTACCATTCACAATTTAAAAAAATAAGACAATGATGAAGTTTGCTGCATCAAATGACTCTTTCACAAAACATTCCTCTGTAGCATATGATGCTATTTAATAACCTTTTACTCACAGCAGAACTTCTTTCAAAATTGGAGCCAGTTCTTTCAAACCCTGCCAATGCTTTGTCAAGTAAGTTTATGGAATATTCTAAGTCCTTTGCTGTCATTTTAACAATATTCACAGCATCTTCACCAAGAGCGGATCCCATCCCAAGAAACCATCTACAAGATGGTCTTTGCTCATCCATAGGAAGCAACTCTTCATCAGTTCAAGTTTTATGAAATTTAAGCAACTCAGTCACATCTTCAGATCCCACTTCTAATTCTAGTTCTCTTGTTATTTCCACCACATCTGCAGTTCCTTTTTCCACTGAAGTATTGAACTCCTCAAAGTCATCCATGAGGGTGGAAATCAACTTCTTCCAAGCTCCTGTTTATGTTGATTTTTTTTACCTCATCCCATGAATCACAAATGTTCTTAATGGCATCTAGAGTGTTGACTCATGTCCAGAAGGTTTTCAATTGACTTTGCCCGGGTCCATCAGAGGAATCACTATCTATGGCAGCTATAGCCTCATGAAATACATTTCTTATACAATAAGACTTGAAAGTCAAAGTTACTCCTTGATCCATGAGCATCAGAATGGATGTTGTGTTAATACACATGGAAACAATAGTCATCTCCTTGTATATCCTAATCAGAGCTCTTGAGTGACTGTGTGTACTGTTTGTGAGCAATAATATTTTGAAGAAATTTTTTTTAGAGCAGTAGGTCTCAAATGTGGGCTTAAAATATTAAAATATTTAGTAAACCATGCTGTAAACAGATGTGCTGTCATTTAGGCTTCATGGTTCCCTTGGTAGAGCACAGGGAGAGTAGATTTAGCATGATTCTTAAGGGCCCTAGGATTTTTGGAATGGTAAATGAGTGCTGATTTCAACTTAAAGTCATCATCTGCATTAGCTCCTAACGATGGAGTCGGCCTGTCCTTTGAAGTCAGGGATTGACTTTTCCTCTCTAGCTAGGAAAGTCTTAGATGGCATCTTCTTCCAGTAGAAGGCTGGGTCGTCTACATTGAAAGTCTGTTGTTTAGAGTAGCCACCTTCATCAATGATTTTAGCTAGATCATCTGGATAACCTACTTCTGCTTCTCCCTCAGCACTGACTGCTTCACTTTGCACTTTTACGTTATAGAGATGGTTTCTTTCCTTAAACCTCATGAACCAACCTCTACCAGCTTTCAATTCTTCTGTAGCTTCCTCACCTCTCTCAGCCTTCACAGAGTTGAAGAGAGTCAGGGCCCTGCTCTGGATTAGGCTTTAGCTTAAGGGAATGTTGTAGCTGGTTTGATCTTCTATCTAGACCACTAGAAATTTCTCCATATCAGCAAGAAGGCTGTTTTGCTTTCTTATCATTCATGTGTTCACTGGAGTAGCACTTGGAATTTCCTTAAAGAGCTTTTCCTTGGCCGGTTGTAAAACTTGGCTAACTGTTTGGTACAAGAGGCCTAGCTTTCAACATGGGGATTACTAGGTGGTGAGCTTACCGCACGCGTGGTCCAAGCTTGTTAATCATTCTAAGCTTCTATTTAATAAGTGATTGAGATTGGGTGGTGACTCGTGCCTTTCAGTTGAACACTTAAAGGGTGCTATTGTAGGGGTTATTAATTGGCCTATATTTCAGTGTATTGTTGTGCTCAGGAATGGAGGAGGCGCCCAAGGAGGAGAGAGATGGGGGAAAACGGCCAGTTGACGGAGCAGTCAGATACGACATATTTTACAGCTAAATTTGCTGTACTTATATGGGCACTGTTTGTGGTGCCCCCCCAAAAATTTGAATAGTAACATGAAAAGATTGGCTGGCTGATGGTGGCTCACGCCTGTAATGCCCAGCACTTTGGAGAGGCCGAAGGTGGGGGGATCACGACGTCAGGAGATTGACACCATCCTGGCTAACACGTGAAACCCCGTCTCTACTAAAATACAAAAAATTGGCAGGTGTGGTGGTGGGCACCTGTTATTCCCAGCTACTTGGGAGGCTGAGGGCAGGAGAAGGCAACGGTGAACCCGGGGAGTTGGAGCTTGCAGTGAGGTCGAGATTGGCATCACTGCACTCCAGCCTGGGTGACAGGCGAGACTCAGGCTCAA